GAGGGGCAGTCTACAGAGGAGAGCACCCACATTGGGAGAGACTGAAAAGGTAACAACCATTCCCTCACCACCTAAAGCCCACCACCTGTCATGGGACCCCGGCAGCCCTCTTCCCACAAAGCAGGGCTGAGTGATCAGAGGATGGGGTCCTTCTCCCGCCTCGCAGTCATTCCAGCCCCCAGCATGTCTGCGGTCTGATGAGGTTCCCTGAAAGGTGGCCCAGGCTGCAGTCCCTGGGAACCCCTCCTCTGGCAGGGCTGTGCCTCCGGACCTCCCCTCTGGAATACTCTTTCCACTCCAGCTGTGGCTGGTGCCAACATGGCCAGATGGTGACATCTAGAGGCAACTTCCTGTCTCACACGCATCACGGCAGAATCCTACAGCAAAGGGCCTGTGCTGGAGATGCCAGCCAAGCCCAGGGCTCCCCACTGGGGTTCCCGTCATCCTTAGGATTGAGTGACCAAGCCACAAGGCAGAGCTCAGAAAAGGCCCAGCCCCTTTATCCCTCCATGCCAAAGCCCAATTTGGAGACAGCAAAGCCCCTGGAACCCCAAATGAACCACCCGTGGATACTCTCCCATCCCACAAGCCAAGGACATGTTGGCTTGATGACATTCCCTATCCACCTACCTGCTGCACACCTTTGTTTCAGAAGGGTCATCCCAGGAGCGCAGCCAACCTCTTGTCACAGAGCCAACCCCTCATCTCCCTCGCAGGCCAGGCCCATCCTGTGTTCTGAGTCCCAAATGAGAATCCTTCTCCTTAGCGATACCTTTAAAATTACTCGTTCATTTCCATCTATCCACACCCACAGTTTTTCTGGTACCAGACGCTCCTGACCCCTCTCCTCACTTTTACACCACCACTCAGTTTTCCTACTACTCCTCTGACCTCTCTTTTGCTGGTTTCTCTTCATCTGTTCCTCCCTTAATCATCCATCCATCTGTCCATCCCCCCATCCTGCTTCACTCATTCTACAATCAGCAGGACAGGAACTACTTCAGGGCATTTAGTAGCATCAAGTAAAATAAAAACAAACATCTAGAGATGAAAGAAACAGCATAAGTTTATTTCTTCCCCCTGGAAAGAACGCAAAGAATTCAATTTTTAAAATTTAATTCTTTATTTCCCTTGTATTTTTTCCCTTATATTTTTATAGTGTTCCAAAATAATGGGATATTGGAACACATATGTTAAGTATATCTAGCTTGCTTTCAGCACCACCTACTTCTCTATCCCATCCCCACCCACCCTGGGCCAAAACTGTGCAATGAAAAGAGTTTTCATGCATTATGTTCTATTTCTCAAGGGGCCAGTATAGGGACAAGTGGATGGGCTGTGGACTTGGTTCAAATCCTGGCCCTACCACGATGTCAAGGGCAAGTTTTTCAGTCTCTGGGCTTGTTTTATGATGTTAAGAAGAGGGAAATACCTCTTCCTGTTGTCCTCATCAGACCTCAGACATCCCCTTTTCCACCTTTCCCTCCCCCAAATCTGCTCCTCTTCAAGTGTCAATAAATTAATAGTTGGATTGCACCTTAATAGTTGGATTGCAACTTAGTGGTATGGATTGCACCCATAGAGGCAGTCCTTAGGAGCTTTATCACAGCAGCAGGGAGAGACAGCTCAGGTGGTGGGGGTAGGATGGAGAGAGGTCTCCAACACTACGGGGGTAGCTACCTAGAGCTTTTCCCCAAAGCTAGCTCTGCATTTAACAAAAGCTGGGTTTACAGCTCAGTTAAATATGAAATCCCAGCAGGCCTTGGCACTGAGTGTGGGGAGACCCTTAGAACAAAAGCCTTAACTTCCCTTTCCTTCATTTCAGGTGCTCACACACATGGTTAACACTAAGTGAGCACTTCCTGTGTGGTCAGCAGCTATCACAAATTTGCAGAGAAAACCTCTCCTTTGCGGGAGGAGGGATTCTTACAGACTAAAATCTTCCATGATCAAATAAAGGCGGTAAAACAAAGGCTGGTATAATCTAGCACCCTACGGACCTAAAGAAATTAATATTCAAACCAAAAGAAACCAAATTTCATTTTGCCTTTTATTTACAAGTTTCATTTAAATATCTCTGTTAGAAAATCAATGTCAAAGAAGATCATGGGTATACAGTTTAAAATACAGAAGTCCGTAAATATTTAAGAACATGGTTAGTAATTTGCCCAAGTAAATTCTTTATAATGAATTATTTTCCAGGAAGCAAGTTCAACATCAGGTGCCCAAGGTACAAGGGACGGAGCTCCAGCCCACTCAGGAAATGGTTGCACAGCAGTCCGTGTTTCCCCCTCTGTGATGCACAAGGCAGCTTGCACAACAGCTGTACCACCAGCCTTTACACCCCAGCTCCAAACTGACACCAGTGCTTTCCCTGCCAGGGGGAAGGAGTCATGTTCAGAGACAAATGCACCATTTTAAGATGAAACTAGGATGGCTCAGTTCCAAGATGCTCTGGCTTAATCTGGGAAGTCAAAGCCTCCCAAGAACTGTCAAATAAAGATACGTTACCAGGGACTGATGGACAAGAGTCAAGCCAGATTCATTCTGAACACATGTTCCTGTTCCATAGAATTCATTATTCTCTTCTTTAACTGACTCAAGTTCAAGCTGTTCATATTTCTCTTATGTAGAAAAGGTGCGAGCTCAAATGCGTCTAACCTGAACTTTTACCCAGTGTGCCCAATACTAATGATCTTTGAGGCCGGTCCTACTTCTGGGAAACTATGTTTATATATTAACGTACCTCAAAGTCACATTTTCATGATAACAAATTAGCTTTTTTATAACAAATTAGCTTTAATGTTACAAATAATATTTCAGAAAACTGAATCTAAGTAACTTGACTGAGCCTACTAATCTGAATTTAGAACTAATACCATCTTCTCTATCCATTTTGACCAATTCCCAGAGCCAGCAGAGCTGTGATATTTATACATAAAACAATATCTAACTTATGCCAATATTACAAAGTTTCTTACCTAAAATAAGCAATTCAAAGAACCAAAGCATACTTTATTCAAGTTACATCCAAAAAAATGTTCAATGGTATATTTTAGTTCATTTTAGATGTCTCAATATTGAAATCTTTACTAAAAGAAATAATAAGTGCTTTGGAAGACTGACAAGTACCACCAAGTGCCCTCCAGCACTAGCCCACGTGTGTCAGAAAGGCCATGGACACCAGAATCGTGGTCAGGGAGACAGACGTGCTGCGGGTTAACCAGGAGACTCTCCGTGGACCATTCATGGAAAGAGCTGACAGAGTTCACAGTGGAAAAAGGCAGACAACAGGGGCGCTTGGGTGGCTCAGCTGGTTAAGTGTCTGACTTCGGCTCAGGTCATATCACAGTTCATGAGTTCAAGCCCCATGTCAGGCTCTGTGCGGACAGTTCAGAGCCTGCAGCCTGCCTTGGATTCTGTGTCTCCCTCTCTCTGCTCCTCTCTCTCTCTCAAAAATAAATAAACATTAGAAAATTTTAAAAAAAGAAAAAAGAAAAGGCAGACAATAAATTGGTCTTTCTGTCACCTCAATATACCAATTAGAAAGCAGGAAATAGATTAGGCAGAGACAAAAAGACAGATAAACTTGGAGAAGTGTGTGGGAAGTCTGTATTCTCTGAGCTGTCCCACAAGTTACTGAATCGGATGCATTTTATGACCCATGCTAGGCTCCAAAACAGGATTCAGACCCTCTGTAATCCCGGTAAATGCTCCGTCGGTGTGCCAGGGTTAGCTGGCATAAAGAACAAAGGATGGCAGACAAGCAGTCTTCAGCTTTAGCCACAAACCTTCATGCAAGCACAATAGCAGTGTTTCCCATTTTATTTCTCAGTTATGATCCAGGAGATCAAAAGGAACATTAATGATTTCAGAATGAAAGGACCAAGGCTTAAGGACTCAGAAGAGCTGAAGCCCAGTCACTAAACAGCGGCACTGGAAAACTGACAGGGAAATGTCCCCAAGTTAAAAGTACCCCAACATTTGAATGAATATCACTGGGACATGAAATGTCAAACTTTCTTTTTTCTTTCAGTGGATGGCACAAGATGGAAAGATGAGGAGAGGGATCAACTAAAGTAGTGCAGGAAGACAGAACTGTCAGCTTTGTGGGATTATATTTGTGTTTCCATTTAGGGACACATTTCCTGTTGTGTAAAAATGCCTCCACAACTCAGGAGAACATTAAATTCATTCCCCTAAAAAGGATCCACATGGTTTAATTTGAAATAAACACAAAGACTGTGCTGCCCACAGAAGCCATTACAGGTTACATTTTTATTTTTGCCCCAACTCCTAGACTAAATATGGTCTGGCTCCTGAGAAGCCACGGCAGTTTGTCCTACAGTCTTACGGCAAGCATCCCATCTGACAAATCTCACTCCTTCTGCCCCACTGCCTCTCAGGACAAAGCAGCCCCGGTTAGCGACTTCCTGAGCAATTCGTGTTTTCACCTGTCCAGAATCGGGCTCAGTCTTAGGGCCATAATCCACTGCACAAGCCAGTTCTGCCTACACATCTGTCACAACTACCATATTACACAATCACATTTTCTCCTCCCCTACAACCATTTGAACAGGGAACCTTCTTTCCGGACAATGTTGCATGCGTATAGTCAGCAGCAGCAGAGTGAGGGAGTTTGGCAGAGCAGAGGTAGGAATATTAGGTGGAATTAACAGAAGAATGTTTGAGAGGTATAATCAGAAAGGCTAAGTGCTATAAATAACCTCCCAGAGGCTATGCCCTGGAGGATATTTTATTAATGCAGGGAAGGCCAGGAGTTAAGGCTTAGTCAGAAGTTACCTCCTAGTATGGCTCAAGGTTCAAGGGGTAGGACACAGTGGAAGGTATCACAAGTGGCACGAGTCAGTTCATCAGCTGGTCCAGAGGCCTTGCCCCTCTCACTCTCAACTGAAAACCAAGACAAGTCATTCCAAGCATGCTTACAGCAGGCCTGTTTGCAAGTTTGAGGACTGTTTTAACATAAACAAAAACACGACTAGGATGCAGCATCACAAAATGTTTTCATAAATATAATCACACAAAAAGTTAGCATATTGCATAGAAAAGTATTCTAGAATATTCTCTGTAAACCTAGGTCTTAGTAATTGAAAAATAAGTCCACAATTGTAAATTGAGGAAAACTACCAAGTTTGCAGATTTTGCACGACATCAGGAAATCCTGAAGTTCTTCATAGTCTTAGAATGATGATTAAATTTATCATTTGAAGGCTCAGGCTGACTGTTTAACAACAGTGTCTTTATAAAAGGACTTTGGCTGTGGGCCCAAGTCAATTCTATGGTCACAATGCTCTGCCCTCTCTATGCAGAACGGGGGACCAAAACACACTGTAGCATGAAATCATTGCTACTGTTTTTAAACCAAGTCTGGTCTTTCCTCATGTCAGTCTGTTATTAAGCCAGCTACATCTGCCTGCCTTTTTAACAGTAAGGGCTGAATAGCCAGTTTAACGTCTTAGAAAAGCATTTAAGTTAACCTTGGCAATATGGAACACTCTTAACCCCCTTTGTAATACGCATCAATGGAGTCTGAGTTAAAATACACCACAGTGACAGTGATGTCATCCCTGTACATCCTCGCCAAGTCCTCCGGCAACGTCAGCATCGCTGTTAGCCGCTCCGGCTCCATCTCCCCGTACTCATTGCTCCCTATGGCGTGTCTGATCAGACGTGTGGCTGCGTTCTGGTCGGCCGCCTGGAGGCCCTGGGCTTTCCTCTGCAGCAGCAGGCTTTGCATGAGTCCTAGGTTGGCGGGTCTCTGGGCCGGGTCTGGCTTGCGCCGACCTGCTTCAGCCAGGTGCTCTACCACCAGCCTTACCACATCCTCATTGTCCAGCACATCCCACAGGCCATCTGACGCCAATACGAGGAACTTATCCTGGGGCCTCAGCTGGTGGTAGGTGACCTCAGGCTCAGCAGTCAGGTAGGGTGGAGTATAGTAGTGTGGAGGGGTGAACTGGTAAATGTTGAGGGCCTCGGTGTCAAAGCCCCTCTCCAGGACACTGCGCTGCAGCTCCTTACTCCACTTCAGCTGGACATCCCCGAAGGCTCTGGAGGGCATGAGCACGCCCAGCAGCCTGTTGTCCATGACGACTGTCCTGTCCTCTGAGTCAGGGTGCTCCCTCTTGAGCCGTGATAGCTCAGCTTGATTCCAGGCATTGTGGTCACGGGTGAGGGGCAGAGAAGACCACATGCCATTGTCCTCCTGGACCCCAAGGATGGCCCGACAGTCACCAGCATTTGCCACATGCAAGTGAACTCCATCAACATGGGCCATGCAAGCTGTAGCCCCAGAGAAGGCCACCTGGAGTGAAAGGTTCCTCGTCATCTCATCTTCCAGGGGAGCCTGGACTTCCAGTGAGATGTCAGAATCCAGTCTCTGGAAGGAATACATTAATCCTTCCTTAGTGTTGAGCCCCATTTCCATGTGCAGGTCAAGCAGCTCTTGCCAGTAGACACGGAGGTGATCAAGGTGCACTGACGTGACATCCTTGTAGATACTGTCCCCTGGGTGCTTGAGCCAATGCAGGATGGGCAATAGGGGCTTCATGCTTTCCATGGCTCCCTCCATCCGCTCCAGGGTCTGTTGGGACATCAGTGATACCGCCACGTAGTAGAAGAGCCTCTCGCTCACTGCTTGAGCACATGCATGGCCACCATGTCCATCGAAGATGCCAAACATCAGCCCGCTGGTCTGCAGGCAGGAGGCTACACCTCGCCGGTCCTCCACTGGGGAATTGGCAGCCAGCTGGTTGCTCTCAAACCGTAACACCGAATTTGGAACTCCACTGGCAAGGTCAAGGACCTTGTGAGCTGACTCACCGGCTCGCAGCACTTCATTTACCTGCTCAGGGCTGAGCTGCAAGTGGAAATCGTCTTCCTCTGTTGATGTATGTCTGTAGGCTTTCTGTAGGGCAAATCCACTGCATGGGGCACTGCTTTTTAGGGTGCCTGGTACCTGGGAAAAGAGTCTCCATCTTGATTTGTTTCTATTTGAGGCACACCTTGAATATAAACGTCTGCCCCCTTGTAATGTGGCAATGCTGTTCCTTGCAGAATTTAAGATCCAGAAGGGCAAAGTACTTGACATTATGAAATGATATCAGCAAATGTGTTTCTTCAGCAAAAGGGGCTTTCTTTAAACCTGAAAACTGAAGAGTTGAAGAAAGTTCAAATTTAATTTCTTAAAAAAACAGACTTCTGAAAACATTTATTTTGCTACTACCTTGAACAAGTATTTTAAGACAAACTTTAAAAGAGTGTGGGCTCCTGGGTGGTTCAGTCAGTGAAGTGACCAACTTGGGCTAAGGTCATGATCTTGCGGTTCCTGATTTTAAGCCCTACATTGGGTTCTCTACTGTCAGTGAGGAGCCCGCTTTGGATCCTCTGTTCCCTGCTTCTCTGCCCCTCCCCTGATCGTGCTCTCTCTCAAAAAAAAAAAAAAAAAAAAAAAAAAAAAAAAATAAAAAAATAATAAAAAAATAATAAAACAGTTGACTAAATTCAAAATACTTAAGCAAGTCTCCCTACCTCCCATTACAACACAAAAATAACATTCCAGAAAATGAGGAAAACAGGATTTTTATATGCTCTCCACTCATACAGAGCCACGGAAGGCTTCCCCACAGAGCTCACTCATTCCTCACAGCTGACCCAGGTGCCCCCTTGTAGTTTCCTTCCCAAATTCTCCCATGTTCACTGTCCCCAGCTGACTGTGTTTATTTAAATATCTATTTGCTTCTCCACTAGTCTATAACCTCCATGAATTCAGGAACCTTGGCTCCCTTACTTATCAGTGGCTCTCCAGTGCCCAGCCCCATACAACACACAACAGGCCCTCAAATACCGGCTAGACACAGCATTTCCAAAGTCCCAATAGCACACCAGGTAGGACACTAGCTGTCTAACATCAGATACACTGCTTCACTTGCCTGAGTTCCAGCTGTCTGTCAGGGCGATGGGAATACCTGTCTCATAAGGTTTGTGAGGATTTAATGAAAAATGACCCTTCTGCTCCAAAAAAAAAAAAAAAAATAGCTATACTTTTATCATTAAGTGACTAGTCATTCTGTATACATTTTTATACAGTTGAAACCACAATTTACAATCTGGTTTTCTTTTTAAGAGCATTTTATTCATGATAAAGACATTTCAGGGACGTGTACTACCCCATTTTGGCATAAACCATTTCAATTTACTTAACTGTTCTCTATTGTTATAGATTTAGAAGTCATTTCCACTGGCTCGCTATTTATAAAACACCAAACTGCACTGCCTTATGCACCAACCTTTCCTCTACGTGGGTTTTAATCTACTTATTTCCCAAAGGAGGAATCGGTAGATCAAAGAGTGTAGACTCATAATTCTCTGCCCCACAATCTCATAGATAAGGGTGCGATCTCCGGAGTCTATCAAGCCGGATCGCCCTCATAACTGGTGCGGCCACATCTCCGAGCCCTGGCTTCCCAGCTTGTAGAACACGGAAATTCGGTCGAGGCGCCTACCTCACAGGGGTGCTCCAAGGACTAAAGCAGCTAGTGCATGTGCCCGGGTCCGAAGCCAAGGGTCCTTGGCGAGTCCGCGAGCCCACGTGGCGCGTGCGCGCGGTGGGGTGACCGTGGCTGCGGGCCCGCCCCCTCACCTCATTTCACCTCACCTCCGCTTTCCACCTCATCATCTGAGCCGATTCTGCCGGCCGCAGAGGGCCGGGCGCTGGAGACGCCCGGCGGGTTGGAGGAGTCCCCATCCCGCGATCGCTCCCCTCGCTCCCTCGGACCCTCGCTCCCACTCACCAGCTTGCTCCACTGCCGCCGGGTCCGTCCCGTCAGTTCCGCGCCTGCGCACAGTGCTGCAGCTGCCACCACTCGCGCCTCACCTCCTTGAAGCGGCCCCTTGTGCAAATCCAGATGGAGAAGGAAGCATTCTCTCTCCAGCTCTTATTGGTCCACCTGCGGAGGCGGGCCTTTGACGGACAGCAGAATTGCCCAATGGCTGAGGAGGACGACAGGGCGAGCAGGGCGGGAGGGGCCAAATTCAGTTCCTCCCCACCCAGCCGCACCCTTCTGGGCTCTGACCGTGGGTGGGCAGAGCTTCCCGCTAGGATACCAAGCTGTCAGGGACTGAGCCGCCCCACCAAGTGATCTTCCACACTCTGCACACTCCAAACCCAGCCACCTCTCCATTTCTTTACTCTTGTTAATAATACCGCACGGTTTCCTCTCCTTTGCTTTGCCGGTCAGTTCAGACCCCTCCCCCAAGCGCTGCAGCCTTGTATTCAACCACCTGGACACCTCCCTCTGGAGGCCCTATGCACTCCTCGAACACATCTTGCCCGGGAACTCACTCTCCTACCAAACTGCCCTTCCTCTCCTACCCTAATCCAATAACGGCCCCACCATCTTGCCAGATAGCCTGAACTAGAATCTTGGGAGTCTTGATTGCTCCCTCTCTCCAGCCCCTCTCCTGGTATCTAATCCTGTTAATCTTATCTCCCAAATTAATCTTATTTCCCAAGTATCTCTGCAGTCCACACACATTTGACTCCAGCTATTCCACCGCCTTACTCCAATCCTCTCATCTGGTCTCCCTACCTTCAGTTTAAAACTCAGCAGCTCTTCCTGTGCAGAACAGGCAATGACCCTTCTAAAACTCAAATTTCTGCTCTACAGTTTTCATTGGTTCCCAGGGACCGTTGGGCCTTCAAAAGACATTTACATTGGCCTGACCGCTGACAGATACTAGAAATGGTTAGTGGTTGGTAGGTTGAGAAAGACTGAGAACCGAGACACCCAGATAATCCCTCAGTCCCTCGCACTGTGGGATTCCAGTTATCCCCTGCTTCCTTATTATTGTAAGGCAAGTATACTCCTTCCCTGGAGGCAGAGAATAATAGGAGATGACCAGAAAAGGCCACTTGGAGCCCTGAGAATGTGGTCTTCTGGAAGCAAGACACACTGGTTTACCTGGAGAGCCTGGCCAGCCCACCTGGACCCAAGGACATGCCTGCCATAATACTGCTCCTGTCCGATTTGTGTCTGCTATGACATTTATACTGCCACTCACCCTTGGCCCTTTCCGGAAGTTTTACTGGTAAGTTAGAATTTGCAATATCTCTCTTCCTGGATATTGAGAAGGGTGTTTCAGACCGAAACTAAAGATAACTCTAAGGCATTCTAAATAAATGGGTGCAATTTTATTTTTAGGTTTTGTATAGATAGTTCATTTGTGGTAACAAAGGATCATCCTTAAGGACAGAGGCAACACAGTTTAATCACTTCATCTGCAGGCATTTATGGGTGCCTGAGGTGACTACTGGAGACACACAGATGGCTGCCCCCACCACACTTTCCTGAGAGAAATTACATCACTCTGCTAAGTCTGAAACAGCCGAGTTTTTTACTCAATTACCACACACGCAACAATTCCAAAGTAAAAAATGTATCTTTGAAGATATTGTGTGCACTGGAACTTTCGTTTAGAGGCTGTAGCTAGCTCAGTCACTGACATATGACAGCTAGCCCAAGAACCCCAGCCAGTCTTCCAGTGCTTCTTGTCTCAAGGTCTTAAAAGAAGAAAAATGAAGGAGAAAGACTGATCTTTCCTTGAGAAAGGAAAAGCAGCAGATCAGCTGTCATTTTCTGAGGAAATTTAAAAATATTCAGCCTCAGTCAAAACCAAGCAAATGAGAATTAAAATGAGATACTGGTTTTTGTCAAACAACCTGACAATCATTAAAACAGATTAGTGCTTCATGTAGGTGAGTAGGCATTGCCATCTGGGCAGGTAGGAGTGTTAATTGAGGCTACCTGATGAACAGATCTTTGATCCACTAATTCTACTTCTTTTTTTTTTTTTATGTTTTTTATTTATTTTTGAGACAGTGGCAGAGCACAAGTGGGGGAGTGGCAGAGAGAGGGAGACACAGAATCAGAAAAGGGCTTCAGGCTCCGAGCTGTCAGCACAGAGCTCTATTCGGGATTTAAATCCATGAACTGGGAGATCATGACCTGAGCTGAAGTTAGACAGCTTAACCAACTGAGCCACCCAATTCTACTTATTTTAATTTACCCTAAAGTGACAATCAAAGGTAAACATTACAAATTTTCTTTCTTTCTTTCTTTCTTTCTTTCTTTCTTTCTTTCTTTCTTTCTTTCTTCCTTTTTGAGAGAGAAAGAGGCACAAATGAATGAGGGGCAGAGAGAGAGAGAGAGATTTTCTACAGTAAACATACATATATATTACTCCATCTGGCATTTCTTGTATAATCAGGAAGAAGGAGGAGGAGGAGGAGGGGGAGAAGCAGCAGCAGCAGGAAAACTGTATTTTAAAACACAACCACAGGACTGACTGAGGTAGGGAGTTAGATCCCTTGGATGATTCTGGCAAAATTCCCTGATTTTATAGCCACACAAATAAAAGCTTCTATGGAATATTAGGAAAGCTGGATCTGAGATGATCTTGTATCAGGAGGAACTGAGAGGGTAGCAGTTTTTTGTCCAACTGTCAAAGTTATAACATCTAGGCCTGATATCTGTAAGAGTCTGTAAAAACGTTAGATATCTTCCTTTGCTGGTGAGCAGGCGTGCTTCCCCTTGGGGTGGTTCTGTGACATCGGTGCTCCCCAATGCAACTGCATGAACCCAGAAAAGCCTTCCTACTGATCTGAGCACATCTGTGCCCTCAGACAATTGTCGCACAGACCAGTATCAGCCTAAATCAAGTAATTCACCACCTTTGGCTAAACTGGTGACTTTTCCTGGCACCATCTTCTCCCAAATTGGCCACACAGATGGACACACGTGTGTGTACACACACACACACACACACACACACACACACCACAGGCCCCCTTTCCTTAGGAGGGAATGATAACCAATCCCTGCACAGCAGCAATCTCAAGGACATATTTCACAAGTCTTGAGAATGCTAGTGACAAAGGCTTGGGAAATTAAAAAAATGTTTTTTAACATTTTGTTTGTTATTGAGAGACAGAGAGATAGAACGTGAGCAGGGGAGGGGCAGAGAGAGAGGGAGACACAGAAACCGAAGCAGGCTCCAGGTTCTGAGCTGCCAGCACAGAGCCCGATGTGGGGCTTGAACTCATCAAGCATGAGATCATGACCTGAGCTGAAGCTGGATGCTTACCCAACTGAGCCACCCAGGTGCCCCATGGGAATTTCTTAAAATTACAAATCTTGCCTCAGCCCTCTTCTCAAACCTGCTCTGAAGCAACAGAGCTTGCAGGTTATCAGGAAGCCTCAAAGTGGTTGTGTTAAGCTCTAGCCCTTAGAGCCAAAGCTAAAGATTGCCCTTCACTGGAGGAGGATGGGCAGACCCTTTGAGGGAAATACAACCTGTGTTTTTGTCTCTTTGAGGCTTCTCCAAACACAGATCAATGTCTTTCATCTGCTTAATGGATCAGCTGCACCCACGCTGTGATGATGTAGGTCAGAGGTTTTCTCCTGTGACCCCAAAATAATCATTCCCTTTGCCACAATCATCCCACAGCCACCTCTACTTAGACTTATCATTGGCAGGCCCAGAATTTTCCATCATCCTTGAGTCCCAAGCTTAAGGCCCAGCTCTGGCCCTTATTTGCTGTGTGATCCTGGGCCAGTCACTTCCTCTCTCTGGGCCTCTGTAGAGCTACTTGCTTGGAAGGGACAATTTTGTGGGCCTTGTACTTGTCACTAGCACTCCAAGTTGCCGATGACTCATATCCTTTCTTGAAAGTAAATTTGAAATGGAGCAGAAGAACAGCTCAAGGGGTCTGGCGTGGGTAAGAGGAGGCAAGAGAAATTTGGAAGACAGCCCTGGAGCCCCGGAGAGGCACATGGTTTTCCAGCTTTCTCTTGAAGCTGCAGGGTGTGGGCCAGGCTTAGTCAGCAAGCCGTGGCCCTGTGCCGTGGCTTGTGCTACACTGTGACATTCTCTAAGAAGCTGAGGGTGCCCAGCAGCCTCTCTGTGCCATTCCTGTGGAGATCCCACCCCCAGCACCTAGAGCACCGCTTTCAGGCCCAGAGGCAACTCCCTGAGGGACCAGGGACACAGTGGGCTGGGTTCAGGGGTGGGGGGTGCAGTGTCACCTGAGCAGAGGTCCCCGGCATCCAGTAAGATGCCAAGCGTGGGTTCGGAAAGGCCAGAAGGAGCTATTAGCCAGGCAGAACAGAACATCAAATGAAAAACCAGATTACAACAGAGAGTTTTGTTTTGATAATAACAATTATTCATGTATGCATTTCTTCTCCTCTTTTTCCCTTTGTGCATGCCTCTTTGTGTGCAAAGAAGAGTCTAGCAGGACACATGCCAACAGTTAACAATGCTTATCTCTGGGTCATGAAACATTCTTTCACATTCTTTCCTTTCCCATGTATTTCTTTAGATACATGTTTGTTTCTTTTTGAACATGCAGTGTGTATTTAATAATCAGGAAAAAAACCAATAATGTCTGTCCTACACACTTACAGATAAGAGCGGGAGGGAAGAAGGCATAGTGGGCTGTTCTAGGGCAAGGGAGGCACCTAGGGAGGGGGTGGGGACTAGAGGGCTATTTTATATCTGGAAATCAGGGAAGGTTCCTCTGATAAGAAAGGCTTTGGAGAGAGATCTGAAGAAGTTAGAGAGGAGCCTGGCCTATCTGGGAAAGAGCATTCCATGGAGAGAAAACAGAAAGGACAAAGGTCTTCACCTTGTGAACCAAGGAAAAGGCTTGAATTCTATGGCCAGGGCTGCCTGCCCCATGTCCAGCCCTTGGGCC